GGTCGACCGTGGCGGTCGACCGCGATCTGATACTACAGAAAACAAGATTTAAAAGCTGATTTTTGAGACTTTGAAAATATGTTAAAAATAACAAATGAAGTCCAAAAATAATAAAACTTTGAGAAATGTATATAAACATATAAATGAACATATTACAAAAAGAATTTTTCAAATTGCATTTCCCATTTGTGAAAAATCATTGTTTTGCAAAAATAGTCCAAAACACAAAAATGTAAACATGTGAATTTTGATATTTAGACTAAACCATGTTTTGAAACTTTGCACAATGATTATATAGACTTAATAACATATGTATATGATTATTGTTAAGTCCAAAAACTAAGAATATAATAATTTTTACAAAATTGCATATTCTATGCAATGTTTTCAAAAACACAATAGTAAATATGAAATATGTGATTTCATATTTATAAACATGAAAACCCAAAACCATGCATGTATATAAATATATATAACTATATATATGCATAGAAACCAAAACTTATGTATATATATATATATATATATATATAACTATATATATATACGAAGAAACCAATAAATGTGTGTGTATAGATATTGAGCTTAACGTACTTAACACACATAATATAAAACCTATACTAAGTTACCCAAGCTAGATCTTGATCTTCAATAAGCTCGACTTGGTACACTTTGCGGATGAAGCTTGAACTTGATCTTTAACTTGAATTGAATGTTGTTTCACTCCACAATCCGCCAACCTCCTTTGGATATGATCGTTGAAGCTCTATTCCATCCATCCTCCAACTACGTTGTTTGTCTATAATAAATAAGAAAACACAAATACTAGACAAACAACATTAGTTGTAAATTGTTTGTTAAACATCATTAAAACAAGAAGGCCAACAGTTCTATGATTGTGAAAATGAAGCTTGTGTATATATGATCGGACTTGTGATGTCTGGATTTGTATTGAAGTTGTACATAGAGACATCTTCATCTACGTTAGCCGAGTTCATCATGGATAGATCAGATCCAAATTTCAAAAGCCACAAGAACGCGCGAATGTCAGAAACAAACCAAAATAGCTCAACTGAACTGTTGTGGATGATAACCGTCTAAAGTGACAGGGCATTTTGGTCATTTT